GACGGAGAGTACAAACGCAACTTAACCAACCACCTTTCTTTTCAAATGGCAACTATAAACCACATACCGTTCTGCATATTATTTCGACGATGTTTACAAATCACATAAAGAGGCGGTTGCGCACTCCATAACACATACTGGATACCAGTCATTGAACTGAACATTTCAAAATTAAACATTTCGCGACATGCTCGAGAACCTGTCAGAAAACTGAACAGCAGTTCTGGGTAAAATCACAAGCAACTTACAGTAAACACTCCTCCAGCGGTCGCGAAATATTCTGCATCCGTACGTTTTCGTTACATGATGCTTTGTCGTAAAATGCATTGTCAGAGTTGCAAAAATATTCGAGGACATTCTCGGGAGTTATAAAATTGGCAGGCCAATTTGGATTCTTGAAAGTTATATGCAGTGGATTAGGCCTCATCACTGAAAAAAAGAATGATCGTTAGAAACCAAGAGATCCATATCATGAAAGAAAGCTACTTGATCACATACTTCATTAAGAGCACACGCGACCAGTCATGGTTAGCAAATTGAACAAAAAGGAGTGATCGCAGAAAATTCAGAAATATCCACTACTGACCACTTGGAATTTTACCCAAAAAAAACAAACAAAAGTCGGGATCCTCATCTATTGAACGATTATCGAGCAAAGGATCTCCCACACAAATGTTCCCCTTATGCCACTCGACACCAGTTGCCTTATCCTTCAAAGGTAAGATTTGAAGCACCCAGACGAAAAAACAATAGCAACACAATCGACAGTCCAACGACATTTAGCGCCCAGGGCGAGAGCGTAGCGCCAGTGCAATGCCACGTCAGCCAAGCAAAGAGAACTACAATTCGCCAAGTGCCGTATCATTTTTTTCGACTCCTGTCCAAATACATAACATTCATCCGATCCAGCTCTCTCACTCCAGAACTGTTTTGACCGTTTTTTATTTTCGAAGAACGTATTTTTTTCTTAATTTCCGGGCTCGGAAAGGGACCCTGGGGAGAAGAAAATCAACATTTT